AGTGAGATGGAATATACTACGCATTAGATTAGATTAGTGTGTACATGTCTAGCTAGAAAAGTACGTACTATAACTTTAAGCAACTTCAATTCACGCAGGCCAACAAAAAATGATCGATATAGTTGAGACGTCAAATTAAATGGTATGTGATTCCACTACAAAAAAATTCGGCTATAGTCACGGATTTAGTCACGGACCACAATGTAAAAAATCCGTGACTAACTCATTTAGTCACGGATTCTGTCCGTGACTAATTCCGTGACTGTTTGGGCGTGACTAAATTTAGTCACGTCAAATTGTCCGTGACTAAATGTAGTCACGGATTAGTCACGGACCAGATCCGTGACTAATCTGTCACCGGAATAGCTGCTCCGGCACTTTAGTCACGGCTAAGATCCGTGACTACATTTTTTTAATTTTTTTTTATATTAGTCACGGACACGTCCGTGACTAAGTATTTTTTTTTTTAAAAAAATCGGTCATATTAGTCACGGAAATATCCGTGACTAAGTTTTCAAATTTTTGAATTTTTCAAAAACCCGCGTTTCCTTTTTTCAATGTTTTGAAATTTCGTATTACTCACGGTCATGAATCCGTGACTAAATTTTTTTTTTTTTTAAAAATAAATTTTAAATTTAACAAATAATTCCGGACTAAAAAATTAGTCACGGCTCAGATCCGTGACTAAATGTTTTGTTTTTTAAAAAAAAACTATTTTTTAAAAACCAAAATTAAAACTTATTTTAATTTTTCTTAAAAAAATTGTTGTTAAAAATATTTCAATTGAACTGTTCGTAGAAAAACTATTATAAAACTGTTTAATAAAAACAGTTTTTATTAAAACACAGTTTAAACATTTTTAAAACTTTTTTTAAACTCTTTAAACACTTTCTAATAAAAAAACAGTTTAAACTTTTTAAAAACTGTTTTTTAATGTCTTTAATAAACACTTTTTAAAACTGTTTAATAAAAAACTGTTTATTACACTCTTTTTAATAAAAAAACAGTTTATTAAACACTTTTTAATAAAAACCCGTTTTTTATTAAGCAGTTTAACAAAAACTTTTTTTTATTAAACTGTTTTTTTTATAATCTATATTTATATTTTATTTCAGAAAACTGTTTTTAATGTCTAAATTAATATTTTATAATTAACATGTTAAACTTTTTTGGAAGTTTGACATGAGGGGGTATTTTTTTTAAATAATTCGGGAATAATAATTTTGATAGATGATAAAAAACAATAATCCTAACAATGTCCAAATATTTCTATTTAGCATGCTTCATTCTAAGTCTAAAAATTAGTCCAAACTAACCTAACATAATTCAAGAATAAAATAAACATATAAGGCCGAAATAAAAAAAATAAAAAAGGTTTGAATAATCATGCATGTTGTTTAACCTAAAATTAAATCATATTTTGGCATACATATTAAAATTATTGAACATATAAAACATGTAATAAACTAAATTATATTAAACATGTATACCAACTAAAGAAAAGTATAAACTAAATTGTATTTCGAAAATTAATATTAAACATGTATTTCAAAAATTATATTTCGAATATTAAAGAAAAATATAAACTAAAACATATTAAATCATATTACTACACAAAACATGTATACAAAACTAAAGAATCATTCATAAATCAAATTGAGCATATAAACTAAATCATGTATATAATCATGCATTTGAGTGTATTTCAACAAAAGAGCATGCACTTTAATAATAACATACATTTTTGGAATGAAAATCAAATACTAAAAATAAGAATGAAAAGTAATTGAAATTTAGAACACATAACCTTGATGAAGAGGACGGCGAAGAGTCTTCGACGGAGGTAGCTAACGGAGACTGGCGACGGACGGTGGCGACGGACGGTGGCGACGGACGGTGAAAGCGGCGGTGGAGGTCAAAGGGTTCGGCGGACAGAGAGAAGAAGTAGAGATAGAGGGAGAGTTTTAGGGTTGGGAGAGTGTTTGGAATGAAAAATTCGTCAAGGGTTTATTTTATATAAGGGATTAGTCACGGATTTAGTCACGGATATTTCCGTGACTAAACCCTTCGTAATCCCCGAATCCAGCCACGCGGTGTCAGGGCCGCCATTGACCGGGTTAGTCACGGATAAATCCGTGACTAAATCCGTGACTAAATTCAAATTTTGAACATGGACATCTGATTTTGTCACCACTCATATAATCCGGGTGTTCAAGTGCAAATTTAATAAACTCCCCACATCCCTCGAGGAAATTTGATTGCATTCCGTACAATACCACATTTTTTATCATACATCCAACTTCTATTTTGCTTATACATTATGTCTGAATATTATAAGAATAAAAAATATATTGGTTAAAAATTTTAAATCATAAACATTATCAACAATTTGTTATGTTAAATATTTTAACTAATTGCTTAGAAACAAAATATTCTTTTTTTATATTAAATTTCTCCATTAAATTATAATTTATTTTCTATTCATTTATTTTGCATCAAATACCAATTGTAGTGTGCTTTATCATAGCTGATAGTAAGATGGTCGGTTCATGTGCTGTAAATATAGGTTGTTGTTTGTGAAATACTGATTCTTGTGCGGTAAATACTTGCTGTGATTGTATATATACTATACGTTAGGTACTAGTTCTCGAGTGTATATTTGTATTGTGCATAAGATATTCATTCTTGTGTGTTATATACTATTTTAATTAGTGTGAATTCTTTATACATTAGATACTAATTAGTTTTTAATTGTTGTGCATTAGATACTGCTCTTTGTGCATATACTAATATGTGTGTATACTAATATGTGTCAGATAATGTTCTTTGTGCATTAGATATTGAATGTTGTGCTTAAGATACTTGTTTTAGTTTTTCTTATACATATTGTGTGTTATATATTGGTTGTTGTGCGTTAGATATTAGTTGTTGTGTGTTAGACACATATTGGTGTGCATGCGATAGCTAAAGATGTTTCTTGTGATTTATTGTATAGATATTATACTTATTTTTTTGAAACAAAATTATATATGACATATTGGTGTCATATGAAAGATAAAAAAAATTATAAAATTTGATATGATTTTTGTTAAAATCATATTATTATTTACAAAGTTAAATCAGTTTTTAAATTAAACCATTTTAAATGAATAGACCTTTAATCCTTCCTAATGTTACGTAAGTGATAACCTCCATATTTTGACTTTTTTACCCTTTAATCATGCCACGTATCTTAAATTAGTATGCCTGATGCATATGTGTGTGACACGGTGCATGATTTTTGATATGCACCTTCAGATTAATGAACCGTCCGTTTCTCCAGATCAAAAGCCAGGATTTGTTCTCACGCTCTCACAATAAGGGATGTTCTCACTAGAACCCATCCCTATATATATATATATATATATATATATATATATATATAACGTCAAGGTGCATCGTACAAACATTTGCACAATAAGCAGAATTCGTACTTTTTATTCTGCACATTTCAGCTTCACCTAGTGCACATTTCAATTTCACGTAATGCATAATTCAACTGAACATAATGTCACTCTATCGTACCCTTTGTGATGCACATTTCAATTTCACCTAATGCACATTACATTTTCATCTAATGCACATTGAATTTCACTTGAAGCAAATCTAACGGTTCAGATTCGTTCTCATTTCTCTCATAAGATCATGTTCTTATTTGAACCAAAACATATATATATATATATATATATATATATATATATATATATATATATATATATATATATATATAATAGAGATCAAATACAAAGCCTTCTTAATTTACAAAGTACAAACTCATCTTGACCGTCCGATGAGTTGATCCAAAGGACATAAAGGCAAGGTGGCATTTTTGTAATAAAACTCAACTTTTTAGGGTGCAACTCGTTGCACCTTAATGTGCAACTGCTATTTTTATGACTTTATAATGTGCAATACTTTGAACCTCAATATGCAATGCAAATAACGTCAAGGTGCATCGTACAAATATTTGCACAATAAGCACACTTTATACTTGATCTTTCCCCTACACACACACACACACACACACACACACACACACACACACACACTCACACACACACACACACCCATTTGAATGAACTAATACTTAAATTTAACTAATATTATTAAAAAATTAAGTAATTTAACACTACATTTAAATTAATCCCACGTTTAACTAATTTTAACTAATTCAATTCGTTAATTAATTACCAACCTTTTTTCTACACATTACAATTAACTAGTATATTTAAATTTAACTAATATTATCAAAAGCTACACTAACTTAACTAATTAATTTAACTTAAATATTTAAAACCTACGTTTAGCTAACTAATTTTACTTAATTTAGCTTAATGCATCACTACGTTTAAAACTACGCTTAGCTAACCAATTTTAAATTGAATCAACTAATTCTAAATAAAAAGAATTCAAATAACATACCTTATTATCTGTATAAACAGGGAAAATGACATAAGATGGACTACATCCTTCGATCTTTCAAACAGATACTGTATTATATATACATGGAATGAATTGGTGTGAACTATATTATATATACATGGAATGAATTGGTGTGATTCAGTTATATTAAAAACCTAGTCACGGACCTAGTCACGGAATTTTCCGTGACTAAATTTTGAGAAATTAATTTTGAGGGCTGGAAATTTAATTTTTTTTAGTCACGGACGTAGTCACGGATAAATCCGTGACTAAGTCGCCGGAATAAAAACGGGCTTACCGGCGACGGAGTTGGGGCAACCGGAGGACTTTAGTCACGGTTCGTAGTCACGGATTTATATAGTCACGGACTTAGTCACGGCCAAATCCGTGACTAATTTTTTTTTCAAAAATCCGTGACTAATCCGTGACTAGCCCGTGACTAGGCTAGTCACGGACGAAATCCGTGACTAACGTCCGTGACTAAAGGCGTGTTTTTTTGTAGTGTTCGGAACGCGGGAATTATAGTACTATCTCTGTCCCGAAAAGGTTGGTCAAAGTTGACTTTCATGTGTATTAATAAAGTAAAAATTGTGTGGTTGAAATTTGTGCACAAAAGAGAGAATTAACGTTAGCCACATATTCCTTAATTTAAATGTAAATGACAACGTTACATATTCCTTAATTTAAATGTAAATGGCAAATCTTCTTGGGACATCCAAAAAAGGAAATTTGGCTAACTTTTTCGGGACGGAGGAGGGAGTAGTAAAGACTAGGAACCCACATTCAAGATTTGGTATGTGATATATCAAATCAAGATTTTATTAAAGTTGATGAGGCACATTCATTGATACATATGTATCAAATACTACATCCTACTATCCGTGCTCAGTGCTCACAGCTTCATGCTAGTACGTACTGGACTGGTTCAATATGATCGATCTGCCGCTACCCGAAAAAGTACTTGGCTACAATTCGAGATAGTGACTTTATTTATTTTTGACTACACGACGTTACAACATTATTGCTGAAAATGACACAAAAGCAAGATGACATGCATCTTATTTTGGAAATTTGGATCCACACTACGCCGGTCAGGCCCTTATTTGTAAGACAACACACTGTCCGTACATCATCACATACTCATCACATTCATGGGTGAAACTTGTCCCTCACCAAATTACGAGCAAACCTGCAACATGTAAATCCAACAATGCGACATTGTAACTGCTTTTTTATAGTCATCATCACTTCTTCACATGGGTATACGCTTTAACTCGAAGTTTCATTCTAAAAAGTTAACCTGATATGAGAACTGGTGGGAGTGGTGAGATCCAATAGAACACTTTATTACTATACTAAGGTGATAACCAATAACTCAAATTTAGAGAAAAGCTTACTCCATACTATGTTTTGAAAAGTTATGTAAACTTATTTAAATAAATTCTTTATTTATACCAAGCTAAACTCGATATATATAAGCTCCTAGATCATTGCATCGTAGTATAAAGTTAAAATGAGCGTTTATTTGGTACTTACGAAATGAGAGCCTCTTCATTTGTGAGCTCAAGAGTGTTGGGAGTGGTCAGACTGGAAACAGGATCCTTAAGCAGATCATTAGCGAACTGTACCAACTTGTGTAGATAATCTTTGCTAGCGTCATCAACCAGACATTCATTATACTTCAGCCCTTGGTATTGGATTCTAAGAAAGTTTTCCGGGCCAGAAGCGGCTCCGTCGCCGAAAATGAGAGAAGTGTAAGTGTCAACCATACTAGAATTGCCACTCATGAAAACATCGGTGATGCGAGGAGTGTTATCCGGAAACAACAACCACCTGACGGCACCCCAACTACTGGCGTCGCCCACTTCAGCCATTTGAGTGCCTGTGCACGATCCCGTCCCCAATGACAGGATCCTGAAATTTTCCGGCAGCGGCGGAACATTATAAGCTTTTGCTGCTTCCAATATAGCCACGAGAACCTGATAGATCATTAATTAAAAGGCAAACTCTCAATTGAAAATGACACACTAAACTGTATGCACTTTTTTGTTATGAAACAGAAGTCATTCCATGCAAATTTTTACACGATTTTCATCATGTATCATCCAAAAACAGACTCTTTTTGTCTCGGTACGTGGGCAAACATGCGTACATCCGACAGACCGACAGCCCTTATTCTATCGTAGATGAGATCCTTTGCGACACTAGGACGAAGTAATATTATTTTTGTTTTTCAAAACAATTATTGAAACAAAATTTATTGATACAGAAGTTAGTATGAGTAAAACGTGTGACACTCGCATGTAAAAAGTGAACATAAAAATAGTCACTAAAAAGACACTTTAATTGAGAGGTTGCATTTTTGCTCCCTACTTTATTAGGGTACTTCCTATAGTTAAGCAAGGATACTCTTTTTTTTGCACACTATAATGTTTTACTCCCTCCATCCCAATTTGTTTTGCAAAGTAAATATTTTTTGGTTAACCAATAATAAAAGTCAATGCTCCGTATCGATAATTAATTTATTTTTAATAATTAAAATTTATATATTCAGAAACTACATTAAACTCTCTTAAAGTTGTAAACTCCAAATTAGAATATAATTAACCATTCACATCCTAATTAAGCGAATAAAATGAAACTGTTTGATCAAGAAAAGTCAAATTTGCAAATCAATTTGGGATGGAGGTAGTAATTTATTGTTTTTGTATAAATTTCTTGTAAAGAGTTGTAACGTACAGGATTATTGGCGGCAACTCCGCCATCGACAAGGTTGAACTTCTCAATCCCTTGAGACGATTGCAACTCAAAGCTATGAGGAGGGAAGTAAATTGGTGCTGCTGACGTGGCAATGCAAACATCTGCGAGTTTTGGGTTCTTTGACGCCTCCTTCCTTGCCTACAATTTAATGCAATTGATTATTTAAATAAACTACTCAAAGAATCATCCGCAAATTTGAAAAATTAAATGCTGTATATATAAAGCATTCGAATTAAGATGATGACCTGAAAAGAGGAGAAGATGACAGGTTTCAAGCGATGAACGTCGTAAGTCGGGATAACGACGTTAGTGAGCGTTTGGTTAAGCTTGATGTCTCCGATCATGTTTTTGATCTTGGAATGCAAGTACAGGCCATCATACATAGGACGGAAACCCATCTTGTAAACGAACTCAATGAGGTGCCACACACTGGATCCTAGATTTTTGAACCACTCACCAATATCAGGAAACGCAAATAACCTGCACATTGCATATATGCACATCATATATACGGAGTATCTAAATAAATTAATAAAGTTGTTTAATTTGATGAAGTGGTAGCTAGCATAAACTACTACTCACCGTCTCACTAAGGTTTTCTCATTTTTCCTTTCCGGAAAGTCCCACTAAGATTGTTTTATATCGAATTTGAGTGAGAAGTGCAATTTTAGTCCTGTTATTTTCGACTGTTATCGTTATTATATTGGTCCTGTAACTTTAATCACCTTCAAATTTGGCCCTGTAACTAATAAGTCTTTTGCAATTTAAGGACTTTTCCATCGGAAAGTACACTTTTCGACAGAAAAATTCCACTCCGGTGACATCTTTTCTGGTATACTATTGCTGAAAAGTGTACATACTCTTCAGGGGGAAAGTCCTTAAATCACAAATACTCCGTATTAATTAGTTATGAAACCAAATTTGCAAGTGACTAAAGTTGCGGGACTAATAATGAAAATGGCCAAAAGTTACAAAAATTGCAAATTTCCTCCAAATTTGATAAAGATTGTGTGACTCTAAATCATTCTTATTTTATTCTTATTTTATTTCTTAATAATCCTACCACCTCCTCATGTACCAATGTTAGTGGGATCAAAGTAGTATTATATATGGTCTGATTCCAGTTTACAATGTTTGTCGAAGATAAGGTAATCTGATCGCTATCATCACATTTAATTTTAGTAAACAAAATTTACATATTCAGAAAATTGCAAAAGAAAGTCAAATTTGATGAAAATTGGATGTATAAAATACAACATACGGCTTTCAAAAAAAAAAAAATACTAGTACAACATACGGAGTAAAAGATAAGTTAAAGAGTAGTTTATGATCAAGTGAATAAGAAAAAAGATAGTAATAACTAATAAGTAGTTTAATTGAATTTGTAATCCTTACGTACGTCATAGGAGTTATGGTATTGGCTTTGTCTACGGACGCCTGAAGTGGTGGCGCTATAGGAGGCCGGACCTGCTTGTAAAAGTCCGGGATATCTTCTGCCGAAAACTGAGGCAACTCAAAGCTGGGGCTTTCCTTAGAACTAGCACTGTTTGTGGTGACTAAGGATGTCGTCGTCACAAACCCAGTTTTTGCTTCGGATGTTTTCTTGAAGATATTGGGGGATTCGTTCAAATAGAAGGGGGGAATATCAGCGGCAGCGAAGAGAGGGAGGCCATTATCTCCGGGCGTGGTCAGCATTGCCGTCACAAGCCCCCCGGTGCTGGTTCCTGCTATCACATCAAAGTAGTCTGCTATCCTCGCATTTGGGTTCCCCTCAATTTTCTGTTCATCATGCATGTAGCATTAATTTGGTGCAGTGTATATATTTTGAAATTGTAATTTGTTAAACCGTTAAGATCTAAGTTCCATTCTAAAAGGTTAATCTGATAGGATGAGTATACCATATTTTAATAATATATCACTCTATTACTTCTCAATTAACGGGTGTGAGCTAGAATCTAACATAAAGACATTGTGGGATAACATATTTTTAAATGATAAAACGGATTGGAGTAAGAAAGCTAGTCCATGCATAGGTCAAAATTTAGAGCATCAATAGGATGTTTCTAAGGAGAAAATGTCAGAGTTTTATTTGAAACAAAAAAAATGGTGAAAAGCAATAAAATTTCATCACAATGCGCTCGTTATTATTATTATTTTACCCCAAGGGCGTCAAGGGGAGGGGGGTTTGTGGTAAACAGTAAACTGCCAAAACTGAGATTAATCTCACTCCATTGAGAATTGAATCCGGGATCCGGACCCCCCTAAAGGAGAGTGAGTCGGCGCTCGTTTTTATTTATTCATATATATACATATATTCGCTCAAGCTAGAAATCTTTCAACAAATTAACTTCGATTACTTTATAAATCTTCTCAGGAATACAAATTATGGGTCAATGAGGAAGGATATCACACAAAAATATATAGAAATATTGATGAAGATGCATGTATATATGTATAGTACCTGGAGCTGAGCTTCAAGAAAAGCAAGGATGGTGCCTGGAATAATTCCCCTAACGCCGCCCCCATCGATGGCCAGAATGCTTATAACTTTTCCTTTTGGTTTCACTTGCAGCAGTTCACTCATCATTTTCCCGTGCTAGCTAGCTTATGCTTAGTTGAATTGATGCTTTCCTGGTTCGGATCATTATATCATCTTCACTCCCTATTTATAGTGCCATTTCCTGTGTATATCATATGCCACATGCCGACATAACCATATACTCCGTACCAATTATTCGTTCTTAATTGAGAGAAAGTAGGTTTTACTCTTTGAGGTAATTTATTTTTTATACTCTCCCTCTTCATAAAACTTTGTAATATTGATTTATTCTTAGTAAATGATAGTCAAATTTGACCAATGATTTTTTCAATACCAAATTGTTCAAAATAAAAATTACATGGAAATGTTCTTTAAGTAAGCCATCCATCTCTAATCATATGCCTCCTGTCAAAACTTGGCTAAATTGACTTGTCTTGATTAATGATAATAAATTTGGAACATTAATTTAGTCATTACATATGTGTAAAACATATAACTTTCATATTTTCATGAAAGATTAAAAAAGAGAAAACATTTTCATATAGTTTTTATTCTAACCAACCACACGGTGCATCAATAAGTATATAAATCAAATCAAATTATGGAATAAAATAAAAACACAATGTATATCAGATAGAAAATATTGAGTAAAATGATGAGCACCTTAGATGAAATGAATAGTAAAGATTCTTTTAATTTGTTTTACGGAGTACATTAAAAAGGTCCATATTTATAAAATCAGATCATCCTCACAATCCTCTTGTACTTTCTACCACAATAACCTTTGCATGCTCCTTGCATATCTCAATAAATTATACTTTCTCACTCCATATAGCAAGTACATTTGCATGCTCTTTGCATTTGTCTATAAAAAAGAAAACATACTACTCCAAATGAATGGAGAAATTATCAATTGCTTCAAAACTTGAACATATGAAAAGAGTAAGTGGACTCCAAAAGAGTTGATAAAAGCTCACAAAGGCAATAAAGAGAAGAAAGTCAATTAGAAAGATGCACCCCATCCTTAATGGTTTAAAAACTTCTTGTACAATTTATTATTTATGATACGCATGAAATACTAATACTTATTCTATTTTAATTGCCTTTTGAAAAAAAAACAACTTTGCTAACAATTACCGATTTTTTGGTTGTTTTGTTAGAAGAGTCCTCATGAAAGTGAGTTTTTTCCAACAATAATGTAAAATAAAAAAATATTTGCCAAAATAGGATTTGGTTAAAAATATTTCCCAAAATACTGCTACCTTAAACTCTAGTTAAAAGAACCGCCACTTCAAGTGGCGGCTCACATGAGAAAACGAGTTAAGCACGCTGAAGGTAGTGAGTGACGCACGTAGCAATATGACATAGGCCCCACAAAAATAAAAATCCAATTTTTAATTTAAAATGATATAACTTTTTTATTTATACTCTGATCATTACAAAAAATACATCAAAATTCATAACTTTTTATTATCTTTCATATGACACCAATATCGAATATTAAAAAAAAATTAATATTTTAATTTTTTTTTATAAATGTTATATCTTTTTTATACACCGATTGTTAGAAAAAATATATTAAAACTCATAACTCTTTGTTATCTTTCATGAGACACTAATTTTGAATATTTAAAAATAAAAAATTAATTTTATTAATTTGTGCAGTTTGGAATCATATCTTACAATATACACATTTTATTTAGAGTGATAGTTTATAATAAAACTATATAAACTCCCATTATCGTTTTATTCCTTGTTTAGTTTTAGGATGTTTTCTTTTGGACTGGTTTCAATCCCATAGTTTACAATTACAATTAATTACGCAGTTAGTAGATGACTAGATGGTGATGATCGTGTGCATCGGCATATCTATCATCTATGTGTGGGCTAACTCATGTCTGGATAGCTCAATAGGAATAAGTTTTATCTATCATGAACTGAGGTTTAATAGTACGTCCGCACTCAAGATCGAACCTTTCAATGCTCCTTGCACATCTCTATTAAAAATTGGACTAACTTTCTCACATGATAGGAGAAGTATTTTTCACCTTTCTTACAATCACACACTTTGTTTAGATTTTGCCATAAATTTATTTGTTTGTATGTCCATCGATTCATCATAATTATCAACTTCAATTTCTTTACTTTTCAAAAAGGCCACACTATAATTATGAATTTTTTTGACTCTCATATCAATATACCATGCTAAGATCCGATGTTATGTTCCAATCTAAAAGATTAACATCATACGCGGTATAACTCGAGATGATATTATGTACTATTCCCGTCTCATAAAATTTGATCAAATTGTCTTATTTAGTCACCCAATATACTTTGTCATTTCATTTGAAAGCAAATAATACGATTAATCTCGTTTCTTTCCCCTCTATATGATTCCCTAGCCTGCCACACAGTGTTTTTATCAGAGTGAGGAATAATATATTTTGATTGGTCCATGTGAACACTGTATGGTATCTTATTGCTACTATAGAATCTACCTAATTTTATTACGATTTGGAAACACTTGAGAATTACCCAAACTCACCCCGCTTTCAATTCCTCATTTCCTCCCCCTAAATACACCACTATATGTCTATATAAAGATGCCCCATTTTACATAGCTTTGTTGATAAATAAAGTTGGCGAGCAATTATAAATGAAAATGGACTGTAATATAATATACCCTCTGTGACACTTCCTTTTTTATGTACAAAAAAATTAGGTAGATTCTATGGTACCCTTAAGGTACCATACATTTGTCCACATGAACCAATAGGAATGATGCAATTGAATTAATTAAATCTAAATTAAAAAAAATAGAATGGTTTGAACCAATCAAATGCATGGTAGGTACGATATCCCAATTTTTAAAAGAGTACCGGAGTTGTCACCAAAAAAATTAATATCCTCGTGACACTTCATATGAACACGTCAAAATGCAGTCTACTATGCCCTCGTGACACTCCATTTCAACTCCGTTAAGATCCACTTGCAATGAGACAAACAAATGAGAGTTTCCAAAAGAGGGAATATGACATATACTCATTCGTCTTGTTTCGCTCCGGCCATTGCGTGGATTGAGCTGTGAGACATTATTGTACCTCCTCACATCTTTTCATATTTACTTGGTAATTCCTATCCTTTTTTTGTACTTTTTGTTTACTTTTGACATGTGAAAGGAATAATATTGTTGAACTCGTGCTTTCGTATATATACGCAACAAGTACGCCCACAATCCCACATGTTCACATTATTAGACACTAATACAGTATAGTGTCATAGGTTAACCACATCGGTTATTGTATACACTTGTTATATTGTTTTTTTGATGAACTGTAAATTTATACTAAAAATAATAGTCACTTACAACTTATCGCAGAAAAAGAAAACCCCCAATCAGATCAATCTAACTTAATCCTTGCAAGCTAACATCATTCCCAAACATCCATCAACCTCAAAACAGAAGCAACAAAACACTCACATCCTAACAGTATGAATGGAGGCTCAAAAATCAATCATATCAACCGGGTATAACTTATAAAAGATCTTATATGTCTGGACTTTTATCTGCAGAATAATATTCTGAACAATAGCAGGGCAACCTTCAAAAAATTCTGGAATTTGTAGACTTCCAAATGGTGAAAACACAACAACAAAAAGCCACTCTTATGGCCTTACTCCTCAACCCTGCTCTTCTATACTCCTTTTTGCAGCATTTAACCACACTACTCATTGCCGAGAGATTGTTTCTCACACCCAGCCAATCACATACTCCCTTCCAGTTCTGGTTTGTAACCGGGCACCTGAAAAATAGATGCTCTACACATTCTGGTGCAGCAAGACAAAAACAACATGTATCATCAATTTCAAGGAACCAAAGAGAACTAGCTGTTGAGAGTTTATTCTTAAAACACATCCTGACCGTACAAGAAAACTTTGGGGGATATAGGATTTCCAAATGAAGGTCATCCACGGCTTGTTGACCCCTTTCACTCTCAGAATATCGTAGACTCTTGACGGCACAAGATCACCTGAAATACAACAAGATTGTAGTTTCCTCAGAGCAGCTTGTTTTCCACCCAGTATGCTAACAAGCTTATCCCGATGCTTTCGAGCTTCTTCAAGAGGGGAGATGCCTTGTTATTTGGTTGCCATTCCCAAAACGACGAAACACCTTTTAACTATGAAACCATTTAACCCATAATGAATCTTTTTTAGCTTGGATATCCCACAAAGTTTTAGATAGCAACGCTCAGTTCCACCATTTAGCCTCCTTCAACCTCAAACCCCCTTCTTCTTTTGGTTTACATATGTCTACCCATGCCACTTTTGCCCTCTTCCCATCCCACAAGAACTCTCTACATATGGCAGCTGGCAACGGGAAAGACTTTAACAAGTAGGATTGGACACCTTGGACTACAGCCCTGATAAGCTCCACCCTTCCTGCATAAGACATAGTCTTAGTTCTCCATTTTGAGATGTATAATTCAATCATGCTAATCAATGGTTTAAACTGGGCTCTGGAAACTCTAATGGGAGCTAGAGGTATGCCCAAGTATCTCACTGGAAAACCCCCTTCTTGAAAACCGGTAACGGCTAAAATGTCATCCTTTGCAATCCCCTCTAACCCTGCAATAAAGACATTAGATTTCTCAATGCTTACATTCAACCCAGAGACTTCTCTAAATTCATTGAGACATCTTATAAGGCTCCCAACTGAAGCAACATCCCCTCTAGCATAAAGCATCAGATCATCCGTAAACATCAAGTGAGTCACCTTCAGTTTTCTACATTTTGGGTGATATGATAGTTAAAACCTGGTTTTTCAGTTTCAGTCGTAACAAGTGTAGAGAGATATTCCATACACAACAAGAAAACAGATGGAGACATAGGACCACCTTGCCTAAGTCCTCTTACACCTTTGAAAAACCCATGTACCTCCCCATTTACAGCCACAGAAAAAGAAGTAGAGGTAACACATTCCATGATCCAATTGATAAAACCATCTAGAAATCCCAGAGAGACAAGGATCGCTTTTAGAAATCCCCACTCAACTGTGTCATAAGCCTTCCTCAAATCTGCCTTTATAAGACACCTAGGTGAGACCCTTTTTCTAGCATAACCTCTCACCAATTCTTGGGCTAGAAAAATGTTATCTGATATTCCCCTTTCTTCCACAAAAGCAGCTTGTGCTGGATCAACAAGTTCTGGCAATAAAGCACTAAGCCTCTCTGCTAAAATCTTGGAGATAGTCTTATAAGTAACATTAGTCAGGGAGATAGGCCTAAAATTTCCAACTAAGGGATTGGAAGAATTTTTAGGGATTAGTGCAATAATTGTGTGGTTGATCTGCTTTAATAGTTTTCCACTGATAAAGAATTCCCTAACAGCACTTAATAAATTCTCCCTTATCTCATTCCAATTTTACTTAGAGAAGGCTGCAGAAAATCCATCTGGGCCTGGGGCCTTGTCATCCCCAATATCAAACAAAGCGGTTTTAATTTCTTGATCAGAAACAGGTGCAAGCAATCCCTCTTTCATGCTAAGTGTCACAATCTTTCCCAAGCTCATCAAGTTTTCTCTAATGTCCTTGCACCTCGTAGCAACCCCAAATAGCTTTCTGTAATATTCCTCAAACACTTGGGCAACTTCTTTCAAGGACTTAGTCAAGCTGCCATCCTCTTTCACTAGATATGATATAGCTAGCAACTCTTCATTCAATGGATCCCCAACAAGTAGTTGTTGAGCCTCTTCAAAGTCCTCTTTAGCTTTTAAGACCCTCTGCGATATATGTGAAA